TACAACTTCAACTCCCAGCTGCATGAGGGATGAGACCTCTTAGCAACAAAGAATAACAAAGATGATAGTTAGTGGTCTGCTTGCCTCCACACTAACCTATCCTTCAGGATATTATTACTTTGCAAGGTGTCTCCCTTTCATTCTATCTTTTCTTGCTGAAATACTAAACTTCCATAATTCGCCTCATACACTTTAAAAACATCAACTTCAACTCCCAGCTGCATGAGGGATGAGACCTCTTAGCAACAAAGAATAACAAAGATGATAGTTAGTGGTCTGCTTGCCTCCACACTAACCTATCCTTCAGGATATTATTACTTTGCAAGGTGTCTCCCTTTCATTCTATCTTTTCTTGCTGAAATACTAAACTTCCATAATTCGCCTCATACACTTTAAAAACATATGGGTTTGTTCTTGTGCTAGCTTTAACTGCCTAAGGAATCCCCTAAGTAAGCACTAATGTGTCTGGCTTCCATAGCCAGGCGTGTTTTTAGAGCGTTCCTTTTTGACTTATTTCTTTTTAACTCCAAGATTCCTGTGGCAGTAATGTTTATGGTGTTACAGTACTATTCTGAACAGTGATCACTCCAAAAAAGGAGGAAAAGCCCTCAGAAGAAAGCAAACCAAAAGGCAAGGCCGAAGTCAGACACTGTTGAAAGGTCAGACTCCAAATTCTGCATGTTCTTCATTCAACCTCAATTGTTCAACTGTCTCCTTCTCCCATATTCTCATCTCTTCAAACACCCCTCGTACAATAACGCTGATAGAAGGTATAGAAGAAATCCAGATTTTGATTTGTTTACTACGTTCTGAAGCTATCTTGTCTTTGGGAAATCGCTCGGATTCTTTTCTAAATTTCAACATACCAGACCAAATAATAAAAATCCCCAAATTAGCTTTCGAAAAGCATTTCAAATGGAAAACAGAGCTTTCATATTCTGCATTACATACTCTGCAGATCAATAATCCCCCTGGATTAACAGTAAGCAGACAGCAGTCCTGCTTTTGTATCAGAGGAAAATGGAACTCGGTGCATGACTTGGAGAATTAAATGTCACAGCAAAATCTTGCAAACATTCCTGCAATTTAAAGGGGGATGAGGGAGGGAAGAGGTCATTGATAAGAAAGAAGATGTCAGGGTGAAGTTTTAAGTTGTTCAAAGAAGCCAGGCAAAACAGAAATTGAGTGAAAGAGGCTATCAGTTCTATGCTGGTTAACACAACCTGCTACTAGCAAGCTTGGATGGGGTAGGAAGGGTCGCATCCCACCAGCCTACATCTATTTATACAGTTAACTGGTCAGAAATGGATGCCTGGGTACAACAGCTAACTGCCATCCCCGGTCCATGCAGGCATCCCAGTGGTATCAGTAAGGACGCACAAGCTCCCATGGTCTGCCTGCTATGGAACAAACTGAGGAGTCAAACTCACTGCCTCCTCCTCAGACAAGGAAGGGAAGACATAATACAGAAACAGAGATGGAAAACACAGTAGAGGTGAAAAAAATACAGCAAACACTAAAAGAAAATGAAACAGCAGCACAAAGACTAATACCTGAGAGACTCTGGTGGCTTCTGCTAAGAACCTCCTCATTTCCTCTTCAGTGAATACCACATTCATTGCAGACCCACTGTGAGAACGGCAAAGAAAAGAAAACAGGTCAGCTTCCCTCCTGACTTCAAGGGAGACACCAGTGTCAGACAACACAGCACAGGATTGCCTGCCAACTGCCTACACATGACAGACTAGCCAAGCAAGCTCCTGATTCAAGCCACTTGCTCCGTTCTTGACTGAAGGAGAGGCAGAGCCGGTACCTAATGAACCTCCATTATATTTTCCAGAGAAGATAGGTGACCTCAGAACCATAACAAAGAATCAAATAACTGCAATTGTGTAGCCTTCACACTGCTGCCAAATCCCCTTTCAGACCTAAGCCTTGAAAGCTCCTCCTAAGCTGGAGGAGATGGCTAAAGAATCAGACAGGCCCACTGCAGACCCAGACTTTAATCACACGTGCGGGTTAGCTGCTTGCTCAGGACAAAACAGATGCTTTGCTCACTTTAACCCCATTGCTCACAAGTGACAGACAAGGTGAGGAATGCACAGGCCACTGGTGATGGTTTGGACAGTGTAAATGCAGATGAAACCGGGCTGTTCTTTGCTGGCCATTTCACTGTGTCCCTCCCCTAACAACTTAGTCCTTAAAGGAGCAGATACAGACATTGTAACTGAAAGCTACTTTGAAACATAGCTGTCAGTAATATCTGAGAGGGGGGTTTGAGAGAACATGGAGTCAAGAGTCAGTGATTCAGGTCCCTTTTAAAGGCAAGGATCTTTTTAAAAAGATGTTACACCGGTCACGTCTACCACTGATGTTCAGCTTCCCCTTTGCTTCAGTGAGCAATGCCACAGAGGCTGTGGGGTAAAGTGAAGGAAGGATCTATCCCACAGAATCAGTCAGTTTAGCCTAAGATAAACATACAGGTGATTATATTTACTGCACCACCTCTTCAGCTGATGTAAATCAATCGAGTTCAATTAAATCCACAGACCTATGTCACTTGCACCACTGAGGATATGCGCTGGTGCACACAGTATGTAACTGGTAGGGAAATGCATTAAGTTTTCCAAGGCAACTGGCAAATATTAAAGGCTGTATCTGTTCAAAAGATGAAGAAGTCTAGGTGTGGGCCTGCTGCTGTTCCGCAAATAGAGGCCAGGCAGTGTGCTGTGCTGGGGCTTTCCACTTTCCTTTTCCTCAAGTTTTACATCCTCCAGTTTCATCTTTCTCCATGAAGTCCTCCTAACCTGCATAAACACTGCCTATCAAATACTTACATGGAAAGGGCCTATACTGAATTTAATATGGATGGAAGCAACAGGCTAAAAGAAGTGTTCCCTACAAATCTGGAGCAGTTTCTAACTTATCCTCCTGATCCTAGCGCTGATTTTAAACTTTGCTTTGCAACCCCACTGTAAGCTTCAGACACTGGATAGAAAAGTCACGTTCAGCGGTCTCTTCTAAAGGGTATTTCCTTGAGGGTTAAGCATAGAAGAAATCCTCCTTTTCTTCTCTTTACATAAAAAGGTTTTGTTTGTTTTCTTCTCTCCTGAAAATGAATATTGTGCCTCTTCATTTTGATATGTTTCTCTTTTCCTATGAAAAGAATCCTGCCAACAATTTCTTTTCACTTGCAAACTGCACCCAAACTGCCTCCCTGTGCCCAGACATCCATCTATGAAGAAACTCCTTGCAGAGAAGAGTCATCATTCAGAACATGTGAGTCTGCACTGTTTGCACTTCTTCAAAAGTCTAGCTGTCACAAATGTGTGGCTCTGTGCAGTCTGTTTAAAGAGAAGCAGCTGCCAGCGTAGGAACATAAAACATGCCTGTAAGCAAAGGAGCCTGGCAAATAAGAAGAGGAATTCAAAAGATGAGCTGTCATTTTCTGACAACAGATGCCAACCACAGTAAATGGCCTCAGCATGTTTTCTTCTGTATTTCCTTGTGGGAAACCATCTTCTGGCTTAATTGCACAGATAGTAGTATCAGGCACATCTCAGATGGTTTGTGGGTTTGGCCTTGAGATACGAGAAAGGTAATGCAGCTAAACAGACATTCTTACGACTGTGTTCTACCTTTGACCTGTGCCTGATGGACATAAGGGATCCATTGGCTTCCTTTATTGGCCTGAGCATAAAACCTGTTAAGATGGGCAGCTTTATGCCACACACACCGAGGCATAGTCTTTTATGCACAAGTTATTCTCCCTTGTCTCAAAGAGGCTTTTGTAGTTCATATGCCCAACTTGATGAACTCTGATGGTTGAGCCTTACCTCAGAACATAGGAAGGCCTCAGCAAACATGGGTAACCCACAGAGTTTGCAAATTCAACTGCATCTCTCTAAAGAAAGGGAGTAAAAACATGTCGTGAATGAGAAAATATTCTAAAGTCATACCAAAAGTTCAACTCTAACTGCATTTGAACTTTACCAGCCATTAAAGGCTGCAGGTGTAGGGACAGAAAGTCAAGGATTACACCTGGGCTGAACATAATACATGACTTTGTGGTTCCAGATCTGTCATCTTCAGACCTTCTCTGACCATAAAGCTTCACCAGGAAAAAAAGAGCAGTGCTGACATATCTCTATTCCTTTGCAATCTCTACCTGCTAGAAGAGTTTTCAAGGCCAGCAGGATAAACCAGCGTAGCCTGACAGTGTTGCTAACTTCTTTTGTTAACAAATACCCCATGTTTTGTAAAGGTGATTTAAACACATCTCTTTCAGTTCCCATCCCACTCCCAGTGATAGTGCAGCAGGGGTGAAAAAGTTCTTAAATGTCGGCAATACAAACAAATGTCAAATGTATTTGGAATCTTGAAGTGTGTCAGTCAGTCAGTCACCCTAGAACAGATGCTCATAACAAACCCCAGCCGCTTCATAGTCTCCCAGATGCCCATTTCCCAACTTACCAGTGTGTTGACTGCCTTCCAGGGAGCCTGAGCCACATGCAGCTCATCCAGAACAGCTGAGAACATGGAGCGGTCTTCTGCCTGGTCAATCTGCAAAGGATTTGTGCCAAGGATCTTTACTCCGCTCTGGTGCAGTGGCACTGCCAAGTTATTGGGAACCTGCCCACCTACAGAAATAATGCACCCACTGCATCCCTGTTGACAGACAGAAAGGAGCACAGTCATGTCCAAGTTAGCTTAACATTAAGAGCTATCATAACTAGAAACCCAACATTTAGATCACGTCACTTTTCAGGTTACTATAAGCAAAGGCAGATCGTAGTTGTGCAGATCCAGAGGCACCCAAGCCACAGAGTTTGATTCAGAATGTGCAGTTTCTCTAAAGCAGCAATATCCTCCTTGATTTCACTCTACATACAGCAGGAACTTGAGGCTGAATTCCCCAGGAAACCAAAGAAATCAGCAGTGGTCACATGCCTTTTTACATCAAGCCAAGATGTTATGACTTCTGCTAGAATGACAGACTGTTACCTTGTTGTCATCTTATGTTCAGGGGCTTCTGCTTTCCTAGTGAGGATAAGCACTTGCTTTGCAGACGGAGGGTGAACAGATAAACTCACAACAGAAGACTCACAACAAAACTCAAAACTCTGCTCGGTGGGGTCAGGTCTCCCTCTCTCCCTCCTGTGTTCTACAAGTGTGAACGTAGGGACCGCCACTTTGACCGAGCCCACTCCTCCTCCCCTGCTAGAACCTTTGGACCGAGTAGCATGAACAGACAAGATGGTTTGGGTCTTCATTTTCTTTTTCAGTCCAGCCCTCCAGAGAAAACAGCCTCTCCCATGGTTAGGGGCTGCCAGAGTAGTAGACACTCACGCAAACTCTTTTTTTCCTGCAGAGTTGCAAGGCAGTAACCTCCAGCAGAGAGACAGTAGGAAACAACTGCTGGTTTTCTTTCTGCCAGCGCTGTCATTTGCTAAGCAAACAACCTTTCCTAACCCCAGGAGCCAGTCTTTAAGGAGCGCTCAGCTGCTGACCCCTTGCTGGCCTGTACCAAGCAAAGCACAGTCACGTTCAGCAGAGCCCAATCCACCAGACAGTCTGTGATGGTGAATTATTCTAGACAGACTTAGCCCTTTATTTTAACTCATCTTCATTATTCCTGACCAGCTCCTCATTTCTGGTAGCACACTGAATAGTGGGTTTTTTTGGTTTTTTTACTTGTTTTGGTTTGTTGTTTGGTTTTTTGTTAACACAGAGCCCCTAATATGCTTTCAAGTACAAGCTAGTCCGGCATGAAAGTTTTCGATAGTAAAAAAAAAAGCCTTAGAGTACCTGCAACAATTATAAGGACATGAATTATGTTAAGATTGTGTAATAATTGAGGTTAATTAAGTAATGCACTTTACTTGCAAATTAAAGCTAGTGAAACTTTGCCCAAAGGAGAAACAGGCCCACAGCACAGCAGCAGTGGAAGGCTCTTTTGAACCAAATGTGTTTTACACAGTTTTACCCACCTCTAATAAGTGAGAAACATAAATCAAGGGATCCATAGCTTGGCTCTACCCTTTAGAGTATCAATGTTCTTTTAATTAACAAGTGTGCTTTTCCTGAAGAATTTTGGCCTCACTGGCCTTCCTGGAAGAGGAACTTCTTAATGAGGGATTTAAAGAGATTTAGAGTGGCAGATACGTAAGCTGAGAGCAGGATGGACTAGAAGCAACTGAGAAAAAACATGATAAATGCTAGTAAAAACTCTGCTCAACTTCAATGGGGTTAATTTCCTACCATAATAAAAAGCCACTAAAGAAGTCTGGCATTTAAGTAGCACTTATTAACCCATGCTAATGTTCTGTGATATTATCCCAAGGTCTGCAAGATTATTATTTGCTTTACATGCTAATATACTGTGCTGCAGATTTTTTTTTTCCCTTTTCACCGTGCGGTCACTTATGGAATGAAATGGCTGCCAGCCAACAGCAACCATCTGAAAGAGCTCAGGACAGGTAGAGAAAAATCCTTCATTAGTAGGGGATGGAGCGAGGACAGAGACAGTTTTGTGCCCACATGGCGTTGTCTCACAGAATCACAGAATGTCAGGAGTTGG